CAGAAAACCTGTTCCTCTGCACATATTCCCAGGGATGAAGTTGCCCATAGGAACCCCTTGAGCACAAACACAGGTTGATGACAAGAAGTGAGGGCCAGAACTGCAGCTGTAGCCATTCATATCCATAAGTAATTTCAAGAGAAAACTTAGGGAAGCAGCCCTAGGATGATGCTGCCTACATTACATATCCTCCTGCTGGCCAGCCTTCCCAGGACACACAAGAAGCCATACACAGCAGCCATAAACACATGGAGCTGACGGGTACCTGCCTCTGTTCAGCTGCTCTTATCATCTGGGGAAAGAAAGAAATCTGTGTGAGTGGATTAAAACCACTGTTGAGAAGAGGAATGAAGAAATCAATTTCTTGGGATCTGCTATTCTGATTAATTAGAGCACCATCCCAACAAGGGATAAAGGCTCCATTTTAAGGAGGCAATTACCAAACTCCAACACTGTTCAGGATACTTTCAAAATTAATTCTCATCCAACACAGCTGTATAAAAATAATTGTGCAACTGTGTTGCTTTGGCATGAAGAATACTGTGTAACCTGAAGAGGTAAAAGAAAAGGTCTGTCTGCAAAACCTCTGGAGCTGAGGGGATGGATCTTTAGTTCTGGTACAGTTAAGCAATCTCTGCAAGAAGCATCTCCACTTCATAAAGACACTTCTGAAAAGCAGAAAGCTTTTTTTTTTAATGCATCAGATAATAAATATTTTTAGAAGTTGCCTACATTTTTTAGAAGTCACTACATTTGTAAAAAAAAGTTCTTATTTAGAACTGACCAATTTGCAGAACAACCCAAAAACTTTGAATAAACACAAACCCCAACACTCAACAGCAATCCCATCCAGATCAGTTGGCTTCCAGCAAGTCTTGCTAGAAATTTCCTGAAAGAGATGAGGGAAAAGGCTATCCTGAAAAAGACTAGACGCCCTCCTGCATAATTTCTAGAAGGTTTTGTGTGTATGTGTGTGTGACAACAGCCAGAATGTAACTTGTTATGTGTGACACATAAAGAGATCACATTTAAAATGTTCTTGTATGATTGTGTGAAGACCATGCATCCATTTGAACAAAGTGGTGGATGAGAGACTGGACATGAGCTGGCAACATGTGCTTGGTAGCCCAGAAAGCCAGCTGTGTCCTGGCTACATTCAAAGCAGTGTGGGCAGCAGGTTGAGGGACAGGATGCTGCCCCTCTACTCCGCTCTGGTGAGACCCCACCTCAAGTACTGCATCCAACCCTGGGGTCCCCAGCACAGGAAGGACATTGACCTGCTGGAGTAAGCCCAGAGGAGGCCACCAAGTTGATGAGGGATGGAACACCTCTGCTATGAGAAAAGGCTGAGGGAATTGGGATTGTTCAGCCTGGAAAAGAGAAGGCTTCAGGGTGACTCTCCTGCTTCCAGCTGGGACGGGGCTAATTTTTTGCAGTACCAGGAGGTGGCATGGCCAGGACAAGAAGATTATTTTACACCACCTCACCGTCACTGCTGGGACAGGGGAAAGGGACTCTCTTCTAGGGAGAATGAGTTCCTTCTGGTCAAGTAAGGGTGGCAGAGGGAGCCATCCAGTATTGTCTATTGTCAGGGTTTTTTCTTTGTCTTTTCCTGTACCCTCTCATTAGTATCCTTGCTGTTACTGTTAGTTTTCTTATCTCATTGCTGTTTCCAGTAAATTGTTCTTATCTCAACCTGTGATCTTTGCCTTTTGCCGGCTCCAATTCTCCTCTCCATCCTGGCACTGCAGGGAAAGAGAGGGGGAGGGGGAAAGCAGGGGAGCAAGAGAGACCAACAGGTGGTTTGGCGAGTCTTGGTGGGGTCACTGAATTGGGGAGTATGATTCCTAAACCACAACAGTGACCTAACTGAGGCCTCCCAGTACCTGAAGGGAACTTACAGAAAAGATGGGGCAAGAGCATGTAGTGAAAGGACAAGGGGGAGTGGGTTCAAATTGAAGGAGAGTTTAGATTAGATATTAGGAAAAAATTATTTACTGTAAGCGTGGTGAGGCACTGGCACAAGTTGCCCAGAGAAGCTGTGGCTTCTCCATCGCTGGAAGTGTTCAAGGCTGGGTTGGATGGGGCTCTGAGCAACCTGGTCTAGAGGAAGATGTCCCTGACCATGGCAGGGGTTTGGAACTAGATGATCTTCAAGGCCCCCTTCCAACACAGACCATTCTATGATTCTGTGAGAGTTTGTTCAATAGACTTATCTCATATGGGCTGTGGAAGCCACTTAGTCTGGGTCTAACAGTGCACAGCCTGCTATGGGACTAGTCATCCCTCCAGGCCCTTACTCTACCATACCTGAAGTTAGCAGGTAATGAGATGAAAGGCATGAATGCTGCCTGCCAGCAGCACTGGCACTGGGAGACACTAACACAGACATGAACTGTTGTATTTTAGTGACTTGGACCTGGGAGGGGTTTAGATGGAGGTGGCTGGGCAGGCTGGGCTGTGGCTCGGAGCTGTACGGGAGAGGAACCCTGCAGAAACCTGAAGGCACCTTCAGCTCCTGGGTAGGTGCTGGCTGCCTAATGGGGAGTAGGGGCACACAGAGGGAAGAAGATCAGTCCTACATCAGACAACTGCAGCTATGTAAGAGCAGATTCCATGGGAAGGCAGTCTCACAGCCCACCCATGGGGAAGTGACAGGGAATCATTGGCAAACTTGCATCCCAAATTGAAAAAATAATTAACCACCTAGCTGCTTTTAATTAAGATCTTGACTTATTCACCACTCCAGGATATGCAGATGTTTGGCTGCTGGGATGTATCAACACACCTGAGCACTGGAGGCAATTGTCTCTTGGCTTCATACCTCAGCAGGCAGCAGAGAGGGGCTCCCATCCTGTAAGACATGCACACCCCATCTTATGGTATTGGTCATGTCTATGGATGGGAGACTTTCTTATCAATAATATCTCTGATACTGCCTTGGTGGAGATTTTCATATGCAAATTTCAGCACATCAAAGGTGTTTTGCTGTTCTGGCATCCTTGCATCAGCTAAGTGCCAAAGCAGCATGCAGTGTTTTACACTTATGTAAGGAGATAAAGTTTTTGCCTCAAGGATATGATGTTCCAAAGACAGAGATAACATGATGGGAAATGACAAGAAGCAGTAGAGAAGGGGGGGTGGGGAAAAGAAAACAAAAGAGACAAATAGAGAAGAGAAAGGGCAGGGTACTGTCGTGGGAGGACAAGCCTCTGTTTTTCATTTCAGCATGTATGATGTTTTCCCTGGGTTATCTCTCTCTAGGATCTTTGAAGTTATTTTTCTTGATCATCCTCTTCTCATCCTTCACCTCCTCAGGACCATGTTTTCTGTACTCTGCACAATAGTCAGTGAGTCTCATACAGAGGATGATGCTACTCTGTGCAAATGCAACTGTTAGAATCTGGCCCCTCAAGAGTAAGAATTGCTCAGTGCAGGAAAAGATGAGATTAATGGCAGAAACTGCAGATAACTGTAAACAAATTCATCCCTTCAGTTTATCTCTCCTCTTCTTTCATTTCTGTTACTCAGGCCTGTGAGATGCAGCACCTCTGATTAGAAGATATCTATCTAAATCAATGTCTTCAGCTTGAACTAATAACCCTGTCATCACCACAGCACCTAGCCTGTCTCTGACATCTTTCTGTTCATGAGAGACAAACACATTTATTTTATAGCACACTTTAAAAAAATTCCCCAAAATTCATTTTGTTTGTCTTTTTCAGAAATGAGACCAGGTGGGTGTCTGCCCTTTCTGTCCTTGGTGGGTCTGGAAAATTTTCATTTGTTCTGCAGCCAAATCAAGTTATCTAGTACTGATAATTATAAAACTTTAATAAAATTGTTGCTGAAATCCCTCTTCACACCTTGACGTGGGCAGTTCTGTCTGGATGGATTGCTTTTTGATTTAATTGCTCTTTACTAATTCAGGGATACCTGTATTGCCAGGCCAATATTCTGCCCTCAGTGATGAAAGAAAAAAATGCTCTAAAATGAAATAGTCTATTAAAATATAATCAACTAAAAGTTACAACTCCCAGAAGAAAATAATAAAACCCTGAAAACTAGTGCTATGATGGAAAGCCTGACATATTTCTGTTCATGAGGAACAAAACCACTTATTTTATAGCACAGTTACAAAAAAATCCCTGCAAATTCATTTTGTTTGTCTTTATCAGAAATGAGACCTAGGAGGTAATAGTAACAGATTAAAATGTTCAGAAAAGCTTAATGTATTATTTTTAAATACATATGCATGTTTGGTATGTTCCCCTGAGAGCTGCACTTTACATATTACAGTGCCTCAATGAAATTGTTTTCTGTAATTTACAGCGAGATTTTCTGCCACAGACAGCTTACAGCATGTCAGAGTGACACAGTCATGACAATGTCATACGGAAACTTCAGCACTGTGCATCAAATCAAGCTCACAGCCTGTATTCAACAGGGTGGCATGGTCATCAGCTCAGAGCCACTACCGCGTATCAGTGCAATAACAACAAGGCTTTGATTTGGAGTATATTATTAGCCCATTGTATTAACACCATAGTGCCAATATTATTCTTGCATACTCCTTCTTTATACGATGAGCATTAACTGGAGTTTTTTTAATTCCCTGCAAAAAGGATGAATCCCATCTGTTGTTATGCTCTTAGACAAAGCGTCGGATGAAAGGCCAGCGCCAGAAATCCCCAGCCAGGTGCTCGAGCAACCTGTCATCTGGATGGCACCACGGGGCTCAGCGGGGAATGCTCAGCCCCTCACCACTATATCACACAGAGAATTCGGGAGGGTGCCGGTGTAGGCGGGATTGGATGAGATGGGATGAGATGGGAGGGCTGCAGCCCTGTGGGGCCGGGAGCAGAGGGTGCAGACCGGACGGTCTGCAGGGCTGTTCTCTGCACGGTGAAAAGGTGCTGGGGAGGAAAGACGGAAGGATGATCGTCCCGTCCCGGGAGAGCGGGCCAGGCGAGACACCCCCCCTCCCCCACTAACCTTACCTGCGCCGTGCGCCTTTGTTCCTCCGGCTGCCGCGACGGCAGCGCCCCGGCGGCCCGGCCGCCGGCCCCCGCGAGGGCATCCTCCCCCTCCTCCTCCTCCTCCTCCTCTTCCTCCTCCTCTTGCTCCTGCGCCTCCCCGGCGGTGCGGCGGCGGGGGGGTCCCGGCGCGGCCCGGCGGCCCCGCAGTCCCCGCAGGACCAGGACCATCAGCGCGGCCGCGGCGGCCGCCAGGACCAGCGCCGGCCAGAGCAGCGCCAGCAGCCGCCCCGGCAGCTCCCCCGCGCCCAGCGCCAGCCGCGCCGCCGGCCCCAGCATGGCCGCGCCGCGCCCCGCACCGGGATGCTCCGCTCCGCTCCCAAAGTTGGTGCCGGAGCCGCGCTCTCCGCCGCCCGGAGCGGCACCAGTGCGGCTGCGGAGCCGCGCGGGCGGGGGGGGACCGGCCGGCCGGGGCGGGGGATGCGGGGGGAGCCGGGGGGCGCGGACACGTCGGTGCTTACGGGAGCCTCGTCGCCAAGGGCTCGGCCAGGAGGGCGGGTGCGCGGTGCGGGAGGGCGGGAGTGGGACTCCTCGGGCGCGTGTGAGGCTGGTCTGGGGGCAGGAAGAGGTTAATGCATCGAATAGATCTTCCCTATGGAAGTGGTACATGATGAAAGGAGAACGCGATGCGGTTCGAAGCAGCAGAGCTGCGGGCATCGGCAAAGGTTTGAGAGCAGATGTTTGGCCGAGGATCGGCGTATGCAGGGATGCTCGCAAGTGATGCTTTTCTGCAAATTTCCCCCAGTCTAGACAGAAGAGTTTTTAGGGATGTACTTGAGTTGTCAGGCACCGTGACAAACAAGTCATTATCGAGCACCATCGCTGTGATGATGACAAGCACTGCCATGTAACGCAGCGCGTGATGCGCTCTCATCTCGGGCTGATCCTCGGGGAAATAGCAGTTTACCGCCGCCAGCAGAACGCTGAGCAGAGCGCCTGGAGCCACATCTTTGCTGCACCGGATAGGAAATTTCTCCACCCACCTGATGAATAAGTGCAGGTGGTGCTCTGAGAAAGTCTTTTTTTCAAAGTCACTGAGCTTCAGTGGCAAGTTGAGTTTTATCTTGGCCGATCTAGGGGGACAACCTCCAAGCAATAAATAAGCAGTGAATAGCAGTGAACTGGAGTGAGTCCCTCATTCAGAAGTGTGTCTCAGTATGTTTGTGACTCACACCTGTCACAAGCTCAGTGGCATTCACTAGGGGCTATTACTACAAAATAAGACAGTAAATAAAGCTTATTTAACTAGAACAACATCAAAAGTTATGTTTGTAGTAAACCCAGCACAGAAAAGGGGCTGATAGGGGAATGGCTTTCATCTATCAAGGCTTTATTTCACCCAGCAGGGACTGCTCTCTCCTGAGCATGGATCCAAGTGCTGGAGCTCAAGCTCAAACACATGCCCATGGAAAAGATAGCAAAGGGGAAGGCTCATTATCCGCCCTTCCATTGGATTACCAACTCTTCAGGGATGAAAGATTTATTATTCCCATGTCCTGGGCCTAATTCCAATATATCCTAAACAAGTCTTGGTCTTGAAAGCACCATAAGGTGTTAAAGCACTCTAGAAATTTCCAGACAAAATAGAGGAGAATTGTCAATGAAATGATGTGCTGAATGACTTTATGGGGAGAAGAAGGTTTTGGGAGGGAGGGAGAAATGCTTAATACACAGAAGAGATCTGTGGGGATACAGTGGTACTTCAAGCACTGTTGTTGGGGTGGGAAGCTTCTATTTAAACGTAGATCCCACAAGTTATCATTTTCTGTGTCTCCTACTGCCTATCTTCTAAAATTCAGCACTGACTAATGTTGTGGTCTGAAACCTCAGGAATTTGAATGGTTTCGTACCTAGCCCTGATACTGATTTCTTATGAGAATATGTTTTTCTTATCTGGAACCCTGAGCTGGTAACTGAGCTCAGTCACATGCAAATGTCAAAGACAGGGGGACTTCTCCTGAAGTTAAAAGTGGCAGTTATCTGATTAGTTTAGATACTTGTCTTTTATTTTTTCCCCGTCTTTATTTCTCTGTTCGTAAAAGGAAGGTAAGTATCTTCAGGTCTGAGCGGTTAAAAAGTGTACAATCTATGCCTCAGATCATAAATAAATTCACTGCTTTCAACTCATCTAAATTAGGTTGCTGTTCTTTTCCTGAGGAAACATAAGCTAAAAGACATTTCAGGAGTCAGCATTGCTTAATTGACTGTGAGATTACTGCTTTGCAACATTCCTATTTCTTTTTTTCTTCAATAAAGGCAATTATTGTGGCTGGCCTCTAATGGCATTTATTCTCAAAGATAAGCATCATCATATTAGACTTTTTTTCCTAGTATTATTACAGTCTTATTAAGCAGCATATCACACCATTGTTCTATGAAAGTAGCACAAATTACAGTCATGTAATGTTATATGGAAAGCCTGAAATTTTATTGCAAGCCTGAGAAAATATTTTTCTATTTATGTGTGACATGAACTAATTGCAAATTTCAGATAGGAAGTTGTTCTCCATTCAGACTTAGACAGAAAATCCAATAATCAGGAGCTGGAATCACATATTTGTTGTAGATCAAAATGTGGTGGATGTTCACAAAATAATGCAGCTGCTAATGCCTGTTGAGTCCTGTTCAAACCTGTCTGCTTCTGCTTGCAGAGTTAGTCATTCAGGGTGCTGAAATGATGAAAGTAGGCTTTGGGAAGTTTTCTGGAGAAAAATTCAGTCTTATTAATGTTTAAATATTTCATTAAAGCTGTTTGATTTTGACAAAACCATATGGCAACAGAAAAAGAAAACACAGCAAAACTTGGTTTGGACAGTTTTCTAGCTGAAATTAAAGCATAGTTTTTATTTCCATTTTCTATTGAATTGTTAAAAAATGAAATTTTCTAAAACAAGCAAGGAAAGAAATGATTATTTTTATTAACATTTCACAGAAATTATAAGGTTGTGACCTGATGTATTAGCACTAGACTTAAGGATTCACCCACAGAAGCCAAGAGAAATGCCCTACTCTGATGCTGCTCCCATTTAATCAACAGCAACAGAAGTGATAGAAAAATCAGTGTTTTCAAACAAGTCAGAGATAGAGAGTGGAAGCTTTTAAACTGCCCCAGGAAAAACCTTTTGAGAGTCACTGAGGAGAACACTTGGCAGTATTTAATACTCTTCAATCCTTTAACCAGGAATTCAGCAAACTGTATATAAAAGGAGGCGGGCGGGTTTTGTTCCTAACAGCTGTTCAGAAAGCCTCGAGTAAGGGCAGAGAACGAGCTGTGTGTCTGTCTTCCCTTCGGGAAGCCATTGATGCTGACCAGGTTATTCAGAACAGACCCTTCTCATGAAGTCACAAGACTTTGCTTTACTCTCTCTCAGACTATGGGGATTTGGGGCAACTACACAGAAAACAGTGGGGGTTTGCACCGGTTTAAGCGACACAGCGCAGGTCTCCTTTTGGTAGCCAGTTGATTAGCCCGGAGATGGGAGACTTTCCCTGTGAGCACTGTGCCGACGCGGGCGGGAGGATGTTTGAATGTGGCCGAGATCAAAGCTCAGATCTCTGTTTCAGGCATTTCTGGGCAATGAAACGCTGAGCGAGGAGGTGTCCCCCAGCTGGCTCCTGTCGCAGGGCCCTTGCCGGCTGCTGCGACTCTCCTGCTCTGCTGGAAGGAAGCTCGTTTACAGGCTGAGATGGTCTCACAACCCACTCGCTTAAGGTCTTGCAGGGGCATTTACACCGAATCCTGAGGATCGTCTGCTGATGTGCAGGAAGTATATTGATTACAAATCTGTGTAATTCACAAACTTTTCTCATTTTTCCTCCTGTCTGAAGCCCTGATGCACTAGCATGGACGTGCACAAAGCTGATCAACTACTGAGCTTGCTTAGCCTGTCGATGAGGAAACTGAGGAAGGTGCTTGCTGCATGCCTGGCAGTAGCGTGACAATAACCAGTAATGAGAGAGGAGTGCTCCATCTGTTCAGACTATTCAGCTCTTTTGCACGGCTGCCCACGTGGCCAGGTATTTGCCATTAAATAAGATGATTAATTCCTTGACAAGTTGGTATCTGGACTAGCAGTCCAGTATTTCCTTTCAGCATCTGTGGCTGCTTTGAGGAATGCAGCTTTATAGAATTTTACTAATTATCTAATAGCTTTTCAACCTCTTGTTTCAGTACAGGGAACTGCTGTTAATTAATTGCAGATCCTCGGCATACCATTCTTAACTGATTCCCCTAGTAAATATGTTTAACACTTGCCTTGGTTTCCTGTACATGATTCATTCGGTTGGTAAGTGATCCATCTTTGTTTGCTGTCAAAGTCTTTGAGTTGGAAGAGGACTTTAATCATGTTACTTGGCTTTCCTGAATAGAGAGAAGAAATGGAGTCAAAAAAGCACGCAATGGTAACGCAGTCAAAGAAAAACCATGGCCTGGGTTTCTTTCACCAACAAAAAGGTTGTGTAACCTTCAATTTCCCTTTCATTTTCATAAAGAACATACTGGAAACATCTATTCAGCCAAAGACATAAAATTAAAACAAAGAAACAAAAACATCTTGAAAGGAGGAAAGGAGGCACTTTCCCAGCTTATGCATTAATTAAGACCAGTCAAAGAAAACAGCTTCAAAGGAAGGAGGAAGCCAGTGGTAAGCACGGCTGCAACTGCTTTAATGGGCTATAGCAATGACATGCATGGCAGGCAGAGCCAGAGCAGACATTAATGCAGCACTGTCAGTTCAAAGGGGACAGAGAAAAAGTTGGAGGCAAAACTGAAGTTACTGAATAGTAAAATTGTTTCACTAGCAGATTTGTCAGTAACACTACAGGACAAAGGAACTTGTTTAGCAGAACACAATCATCTCGAGAACGATAAACACTGCTGGTTTAAAGATAAAATCAAAGGCCTTGAGAGCAAAGCAGAAGACATGAAAGTATGTATAGTTGGCTTTCCTGAAGGTGAGGAGGTTTGCATCCCTGTCAAACCATTCAGAAAGGAGCTGTTAAGCGCCCCAGGTCACTCTTGCACCCTTTAGCACCCACTCTTCCCCTGGGTGGAAGCCTGTGCAGAGCTGCATGAATATACAGGAGCATTTTTAGGTTTTCTGCACATCTCGTCAGCAGTGGTGTTTTGGGAGTCTGGCAGGAAAATTTATTCCCCTCCACCCCACAAAAAAAAAAAACTGAGTGCAACCTACAACATGCTATCATAAATATTTTATACAGTTTAAAAAATTGATTTGTTTAGCAGCAGAAGACAGGATTTTATTATATTCTTTACGTGCATATTTATTCTCAGTGCTGTTCAGTCTGTGTCTTGGATCCAGCTGTCTGGAAAAGCAGCTGGTGGTTTGTCGTCTCTTTTGACAAGCAGTTCAAGTTCTTGTTTTAAAAACATCCTAGGTCCCTTCATCAGTGATCAGCAGCATGTGTGCATTTTTACAGGAACATGATGTCTACAAGGAAGTCTCCTAAAATCAAGATAAGTGTCTCTCCTTGCTTTATTCCAAACTGGCACACAACACAATGAACATGGAGTAAATGAATGATGACACACAATTTATTGCTATCAAGAACAGCATTCAGAGAGATGCAGCTGACACACTGGAGGGAAGTGATCATTACCCTCAGGGAGGTTTTAGTGTCAAAAATGTATGAATATGCATCCGCTGGTAAAAGTGTGGCTTACACTGTAGTGTTCTGGCAGTATCATATTCTTGTGCAATCTGGGTATCCAAGGCCACAGTTTTTCTCTAGATGTGCTCAGATAACCTCTGCATCTGAAGAGGATCTTCCACTTTGACCTGGAGACATGAAGGACTGAAAAATGTACCACATTCACCACATCCTCCATGGTTTCTTCTCATGTTTAGTCATCCT